ATGTCCGACGCTTTCTGCTCCGATTGCAAGCGACAGACCGAGGTCGTCTTCGACCACTCGGCGGGGGACACCGTCTGCTCCGAGTGCGGTTTGGTGCTCGAATCTCACTCCATTGATGAGACCTCCGAGTGGAGGACGTTCGCCAACGAGTCCGGCGACAACGACCCCGTCCGTGTCGGCGGACCGACCAATCCTCTCCTCGCCGACGGAGGCCTTTCGACGGTGATCGCCAAGCCCAACGGCGCCAGCGGAGAGTTCTTGTCGTCGTCGCTCGGTCGGTGGCAGAATCGCGGCTCCAATCCGGATCGGGGATTGATTGTCGCCTTCAAGACCATCGCTACCATGTCTGATAGGTAAGGCGGTGGTGTGTGTGCGTGTCTGCATTTTGGTGATTGTAGTTTTTGGATGAAATGCTGAATCTTAGGAATCTGAGACTTGGGAGCTGGTTTTGGTTTAGGATTGTGCTGTTTGGAGGATGAATTTGAGCCATTTTTGTTGTTGTAGAATTGTGGGGTTTGATTTAGGGTTGAGTTTGGATCAGATATGCCGGTTTGTTTTCGGAATGATGTTTCACTTGTTTATGAGACTTATTAGTGTAAAAGAGGGTTTACCCTGAATGCTGTGGAAGTATGGGAGGATAGAAGATCATTGAAAGATTGGATCTTGGTTTATCTCCTTGTTGGGACTTAAGAATTGAAGATTGAAATTTTATTTATTTTGTGAGAATAGTGATGGAAAGTATTGCAAGACGGGTTTTTCTTATCGTGGATCAGGTGTTGGAATTGGATTAGAATTTCGGTGTTTGACACTCAATAATCCCTAGTTGGTTACCCTAAGTGCTACAAAGTGAAAGAAGGTGATAATAGGATTGTCGATCAGTTATGTTACAAAGTGAAAGAAACTAGGGACTTAATGATTTTAGCATTTCTGGTCATTTTAAAAGAGAACCCACAGAGAAGAGCTTAAGTTCAGTTTCTGTGCGCATTAGTTTAGTTTAGTCTCTTGCTGAATTGAACAGTTATGGATGATGGATGTTGCCTAGGATGGAGATGAGATTAATATGTCACAATAAACGTAAATTTTTTTAGAGTTTGATACATGGGACTTGCTATGAGGCTATTTATTTTTGGTCCTGTGCCAAAGAAAATTACGTTTGTTTCAATTTATCTTGCCATCAACGGTCAACCATTTATTTACTCCATTTAGCTTACTAGAACCGATGTCTACTCTCTTAGAATGAAATAAATCAACTTTAAGAAAGCGATTCACTCGTATATATTATCCTAATACATACTCCATGGATTCAAAACCGTTATTCTCATATGCTGGCTGTTAGCTTGTCTCATTTACAGTCTCAATTCGGCTAAGAAAAAATAAATCTTGGGTGGATTGATCAAGATCAACTGAGTCCATTTGAAAAATCACCATCCGTGTCAGACTATAGAATTTTCTGTCCGATAAAGTTAGAAGTTACAGCACCAAAGTTAGTATGTGTCCTTTCTTATGTACATTAACATGCATGCTTACGTGCCTATCTTTTTGGCCTGTTTGATGTTTTATTATGTATGCATGACATTTTTGGTTTCTCACTTACTTGAGTGCATGCTGTGACACAGACGAATTTTAAAGAACTTGACATTCTAGTTTCTTCTTTTAAGCATGTGGTGTGACATGAAGGTAATATTGGAGAAATATAGATAATTTCTTGTTATCTTAGAGATCATGTAATATGGTTCTATGTATACACAAGTAAAGAGGAAAAAAGAAAAAGCTAATGCATTGGCATTGTCTTGCAGGTTGGGACTTGTTGCAACCATTAAGGTATTCTATTTGCTCCCTGTCAGAGTATTCTTATGTTCCTAACTTACTTTTAACAGTGTTAAATTGCTGCATAATTGTTTTTAGCAATTAATTATCACCATTTATGATGAATGTAAACATTATTACTTGGAAATTTGTGTGGTATTTCTGAACAAAACAAGATTGTGAAGTGGCAATTCACAATTGAAATAAAGCCGCTGTTGAATCTTTTACCTTTTCATTGTATACTCTCATCTTCAATTCATTAAGTAGAGTTATAAAGCGATATGTTTGACAAGTTTAGTATTAACTGATCTATCAATGGAAGAATTCTTTATATGTTTTCTTTAATAATGCTGTGTTACAAATATAATAGTATTGTATACATGAAGCAGTCAAGCAGTTCTGGTTTTTGTGCTAAATCACCACCCATGGGTCCGTTATAATTTTTGCTTGTGCTTTTAGGTAGTAGAAGAAAAGTAAGATGTTTTTTAGTTAGTGTATCGGAACCGCAGTTTTTAAAAGAACTTACTGGACAAAAATGATATTTAAGTTTTCTAATTAGAAAAAAAAAAGTTGGAATGTTGTTTATAAATCTTATTGCAGTCCTAGTATAAGTCTTAAAGTTTGTTTAGAAGAGCTTTCTAGCCACATTTTGTGGTTTTGACCAGAAGGCTCTTCTTGAGGGCAAAAGTTCATGTGGAAGGTTATCCAAAGACACCCCAAAGTCAAATGCAGCTTCCAAAATGTTGTGCCAAATAAGCCCTATGTCCTCGTTTCCAAAATGTCCTTTAGATTTTATATTGCCTATTCTTGTCTCTCCATAAACTCTTGTACAAGTTCACATTGCCCTGTTTATGTTCTGTTATACTTCAAATAATTATTCTGCTCTTTATTAAAGGAGCATAGTACGTGAAATTTTGTGGGTATAACTGTTCAATTATAGACAAAAGCGTTTTGTTTGTATAAATTTTGGAAGTGCCTCAAATTTTTTATGGGATCTTTGGCACTCAATCTCTCATAGATAGACCAATGGTAGAGTGGATAATTGGTTTTTTATTTTTTTTATTTTTTTTATTTTTTTATTTTTTTATCTTCCTGAATATTGTGTAGTAATGTTGCTTTTCTCACTGATTTGAAGGACCGGGCTAATGAGATATATAAGAGGGTTGAAGATCAAAAATCTAGTAGGGGAAGGAATCAGGATGCCTTATTGGCTGCTTGCTTGTACATTGCTTGTCGACAAGAAGACAAGCCACGAACAGTAAAGGGTACAGCTTATGATCCTTTTTAAATATGGTTGCTTCCTGAATTATCTTTTCCTTTGTCTCTGAGCTTCCCTGAACCTGTGGATTTCAATAGAAATTTGCTCTGTCGCCAATGGAGCCACAAAGAAGGAAATTGGCCGAGCAAAAGAATACATCGTGAAACAGCTGGGGTTGGAAAAGGGTATGACGGTGGAGATGGGAACAATACATGCTGGGGACTTTATGGTCAGAATTTATTTTATATTCTCTTAAATTAAAAACGAGTTGTGGAGATCTTGTGTGTGTTTTACCAAAAAGGGTCACTCTTGACTGCTTACCGTGTTGCTGAGAATATGTCTCCAATAAAAATTTTCAGAGGCGATTCTGTTCCAATCTTGGGATGAACAATCAAGCAGTTAAAGCTGCCCAAGAAGCTGTGCAGAAGTCGGAAGAGTTTGATATAAGGTAGTTTTTGTTTTCCTTTGGTGTATTATTCAACAGGAGTATAACTTCATTAGTGAACTACTGTGTTTCATTTTTGCAATATAAAAGCATGCTTAACTATAATTCCACCGACGCCAGTCTGATACTATTAGCAGTTGAAAACTGTTTGCTTGGTAAAGATGACATAATTTCTTTGCGTAGTATGGTAGATTTGTGGGTAGATC